GGGGGGGGGGGGCGCGGGGGGGGGGGAGGTATGGAATGGGATACTTGGGGGTATGGGCCGTGGGGTATGCACTGTGTTGTGGGGTTATGGGCTCCGGGGTGGAGGATTCGCAGCTATGGGGCCATGGGACGGCCGTGCCCCACAGCCGACTCGACGGGGACGCATTCGCTGTACACCACGTACCACGGCTACGAGGTGATGTTCCACGTCAGCACCATGCTGCCCTTCACCCCCACCAACCCCCAGCAGGTCCGTGGGGCTCGGGCTGCGTACGGGGGGGTCGGGCGCATCTATGGGGCCCCAAACCCACCCCATGTAACCCCCCCACCCCATCGTTCCCCACGGCAGCTCCTGCGGAAGCGGCACATCGGGAACGACATCGTCACCATCGTCTTCCAGGAGCCCGGAGCGCTGCCCTTCTCCCCCCGCGCCATCCGCTCCCACTTCCAGCACGTCTTCATCGTCGTGCGAGTGCACCAACCCTGCACGCCCCACACGTCCTACAGGTGGGGGGTTGGGGAAGGGGGTGGGAATGGGCTGTCCCTATGGGGTGGCAGCGTGGGGCTGGGGGGTCCCTGTTGGGTGTTAATGTGGGGCTGGGGTGTCCCTGTGGGGCTGGGGTGTCCCTGTGGGGTGTTAATGTGGGGCTGGGGTGTCCCTGTTGGGTGTTAATGTGGGGCTGGGGTGTCCCTGTGGGGCTGGGCTGTCCCTGTGGGGTGTTAATGTGGGGCTGGGGTGTCCCTGTGCAGTGTCTGTGTGGGGCTGGGGGATCCCTGTATTATGAGCCTGTGGGGCTAAAGTGTCCCTGTGGGGTGTCCCTATAGAATGTCCCTGGGGGGCTGGAATGTCCCTGCAGGGATGGGGGGTCCCTGTGGGACTGCAGTGTCCCTGTGGGGTGTCCTTATGGGGCAGGGGTGTCAATGTGGAGTTGGGACGTCTCTTTGTGGTGCCTCTTTGTGGGTCTAGGATGTCCATGTGGGGCTGGGGGTGTCCCTATGGGGTGTCTCTGTGGGGCTGGGGTCATCGCTTTGGGGCAGGGGTGTCAGTGTGGGGCTGGGGTGTCCCTATGGGGTGTCTGTGTGGGGTGTCCCTATGGGGCTGGGGTGTCAGTGTGGGGCAGGGGTGTCCCTATGGGGTGTCTGTGTGGGGTGTCCCTATGGGGCAGGGGTGTCAGTGTGGGGCTGGTGTGCCCCTATGGGGTGTCTGTGTGGGGTGTCCCTATGGGGCAGGGGTGTCCCTATGGGGTGTCTGTGTGGGGTGTCCCTATGGGGTGTCTCTGTGGGGTGTCCCTATGGGGTGTCTGTGTGGGGTGTCCCTATGGGGCAGGGGTGTCAGTGTGGGGCAGGGGTGTCCCTGTGTGCTGTCCCTATGGGGCGGCTCCACCTCGGGTCCCCCCCTCCCCCCATCCCCTCACTCACCCCCCACCCCCCCCCCTCCCAACAGCGTGGCAGTGACCCGCTCGGACGACACCCCCCCCTTCGGCCCCCCCATCGCCGTGGGGCAGCGCTTCCCCCGAGGCCCCCAACTCCGCCATTTCCTTTTGGCCAAAGCCATCAACGGTGAAAACGCCGCCTCCCGGGGGGGCCGCCTGGGGGCCATGGCCGCCCGCACCCGCCACCAATACCTCCGAGAGCTCGCCCGCTCCCACGCCAACGGCCCCCCCCCCGCCGCCCCCACCCGCGGCCTCCCGGTCCTGGGGGTCC